GTAGGATAAAAGGATGTGTGTCTTCACGTTTCAATTACTCTATCTCATCTGTAAAAACTCCCTTTTACAAAAATAATCTCAGATGAGTCGGTGATTGCCTGTCTCGCTGCTACCCATTATTGGATTATATCGAATAGCATTTTTGGATTTAGTATTAGAAAATTCTGACGATTGCATTCTTTGGCGAAGCAATATTTATTTGTCTGCAACAGTCTAAAAATAGTTCATTCATGCTTAAGGGACTGCATAAAATATGAGTACAGATTTGTACCTTAACTAAAAATGCTTACTTGTATCGCGTCTTCGAAGAAATCGAGTTTGTAATTTTTAAAATACCGTTTACTATCATGAGGTACGAAGGATACTAGAAAAGAAATCTACCTAGTCAAAAAAACACAATTGGAACGCACAAGCATAATATGAGAAATAGTGATTATAGTTCTAAACTCGATTGCAAAATTTGAGTTGACTGTGATAATGATTAGTTTAAAATTTATATAGTGAATTGCGAAGAAAAATGTGTGAATTAAAATTGGAGTTCCGTAGTGTTATAAAATTTCTGACAAAAAAGGTCCATCAGCTAAAAACAATTTGGAGTTCAGAAAATGGTTACCGTCTATGGGAATGATGCCCATCATATTACACAATAAAATTTTGGTAGAAAGAGTTTCGAATGGAGTGTAAATCCATAGAAGACGGCCTAGAAGTGGAAGACCCAAAACTGCAACAAATGATGAAATTACTCAAAAAGTTTAAGCCATGGTTCTCGAAGATCATCATGTACCACTGGCACTGAATATATCTGGACTCGGCGTAACAACCATCTTGCACGACAACATAAGCAAGGTATCAGCCCGATGGCTTTCACGACTATTGGCAACTGAACAAAAATTGCGGATTTCTTTTCTAGTACCCCTGGTACTACAATTATCACATGACACGTTCTAAATGGTCAGCCTTTCTGTTTGAGTCTCTGTGTCTAAATATTCTAAATACGTGTCCTCAAATGTAGAAGTGTTACGTCATCCCATGATTTCCCAGAGCATGGACTTTAACCATATGCTAGAGAATTAGCATTGACCGTACTACGTTCGTACGTGGCACATAAAACTGATCTTGACAGGCATCTCCTTTCTGGTTTGAAGGGATATAAATGGAATGCAGGTTGCTATCTGCAATTTGTCATGGAAAATACGAAGCGACGGCCGTTGGCCGATCTATTGGAGAATATTAAATTTGGAGCGGTGTGCGGTGCCTCTGTAGCCGGTTGGTCTTTTAGTGAAGAGGGCCAGTATTTCATCCCTGCTACTGATTTTTCGCTATCGCAATGACTTACAGTTTTAAATCACCGTCGGTTTGGGTTTATCCTGGGATTGAAAAAGGGCTGCACAATGTGCAACGTGTGATCATTTTTTGTATTAGAGAAGGAGAAAACTTCCTATTCATGGAAGAAATTTTTCGACAAATTTGGTGGATGCGCCATATGAATAAAACGTGTGTATATAAGTTGATACATACGTATTTTCGTATCTAACAAAATAGCTCGCAGGGTCGTAAGACCTGAGGAAAATGTCGTTAAGTAGATTGACTCTGTACATCGCTTCATTTTCAGAAAAAAAAATATTGTGGTTTAAAGTTGGGAGGTATATCTATGTTTTTTTGGCACTCGTATATTTACACGCTTGCACTCTCAGTAATTCTGCACACCTACTAGAAATATTTCACACATCATAGATTTTCCAGAACATTTGACCTCAAAATTCGGAATGATGGAGAAATACGGGCAAACACAGGCGACTCTGGCTACGAGTATCCTTGGTGTTTCTATCTAGCAGACAGAAGTGGGTGCCTTACTACCGTGGCTGACGAGCAGTGAAGTGAGTCACAGCAACGTTGTCAAATGGATGGGAACTATGAACTGAGGATATGGAGCTGTTTGACTAAGTTACATACATACATACATATACACACAATACATACGTACATGTTGCACCAAGGTTTGCTACATGTACACAAGGGAAGTGAAGAATCATTTAACAATATATCTATAGCAATCTAATTAAGACTATGGATCCACGTAAATATGAGATTTGACAGCTTTCTTGAAGCAATTTAAGGACATGGTTTTGAATTCAGGACTCAAGGCATTGTATAAGAAAGAACGCTGGAATAAAGTTGTGGAGTGAATAGGTGTAGTTATCAAATCTGGAAATCTAATATGTCTATGATGAATATCACGCCTAAAAATCAGCTTTTCTCTTAAGTATATAGGTTTTGACATAGGTATTAGTTTATGAATAAAAACAAGGTAATGATATTTGACAATATTTTTTGTTATCATCCAGTTTAATTCAATAAGTCTACCAGAAACATGGTCAAAGCGCCTTAAACCGCAGATGAACCCAGCACAATTGTTTTGCACAATTTGAATCCGATTTCTAGTAACAACATTGAGACACGGATAATATCAAATATCACATTAGTTGAAAATCGGCATAACCAAAGATGAACACAGTTTTTTCCTTAGCTTATAATTGAAAATTGCTTTATTGGCATATAGTGACCTCAGTCTCAAGTAGTTTTTCTTTAAAAGATTTTTAACATGATCTAAGGTTGAAATCGATTACCACGCCAAGAATTTTAACCTCGTCAACCGGGTACAGTCTTTGAGATCCAATTTTAATAGTTAATCGACTTTTAATTTCTTCTCTCCTACGATCCGAACAAAAAAATAACAGGCTGGATTTACCAGGATTTATTGACAGGTTGTGATTATTCGAGAAGTCATACACTTTTTGAATATCATGGTTTATTGATGTCTGTGCCATTTCGATATCATCAGTATCAAAATAATGGACCAGTTGAGTATCATCCGCAAAAGACTGGAGTTCACAAAAACTCACAGCCTTAGGCAGATCAGCAATATATATCAAAAACAACAAGGGACCCAAAACAGACCCCTGGGGTACTCCAGACGAGATTTCTAGAAAACTAGATTTATTGTTTTCAATTGATACACACTGCGATCGATTTGATATATAATTTCGAAAAAAAATCAATGCAATTGGATCTATGCCATAATACTTCAACTTTGCTATTAACAACTCATGATTTATTTTGTCAAATGCCTTGGAATAATCGATTGACATCACTGCTACGCCCATTTTTTTATCAAGTGCTCTAATAATATTATCCACTAAGTTTAAGAGGGAAGTAGTAGTACTGAAAGATTTCCTAAAAGCAGACTGATCAGATGGGATGATATGTTCCTTTGCATAATGCATTAGTTGTATGTGGGCTGCCTTTTCTACTACCTTCGATAAACAAGGCAACAGGCGTATAGGCCTTAGATCAGCAAACTCATCTGGATTTGATTTTTTTGGAACTGGTACCACAACTGCTCGCTTCCACGTTTCAGGGAAATAACCTCTTTCAAGGCAACTATTAACAAGGTTGGTGATATAGATGAGAGTAACAGGCAGACTGAGCTTAATCATAGACAAGCTCAACCCATCAGTACCTTTTGCATCGGACTTAAAACTAGAAATTATTTCAGCTACTTCATGAGGCTCTAGAAGCCTGAAAGAAAATTTATTAATATGGTGAACATTTTCGTTGTAATACCTTAAAACGTGATCAGGAGCATTTGTGAAATCAAAAACTGATATGAAATAATTATTTGCAGGGAACGAGTCTGCAAGATGGTTTGGAATACGTGGCTTATCAGATGTTTGTGCTTTTTTCTGATCACGCCCTTTTTCCAAGTGAGCAAGATACGCCATTTGTTCATGTCTAATGCACGATAGTGCAAGGTTTCTAAGTGCCCTAAAAACCTGCAATCTTGCTGGACTTCTGTCTATCTTGTATAAATAATATGCTCTCGTTTTTTGCTTCAGAAGCTGTCTCAACGGATATGACAACCACGGCGCTTTCGGCTTACTCACGCGTACCGTCCTTATAGGAGAGTGACGATTGAAGATGTCAATTAACTTGCTACTGAAAAATTGAACTTTATCATCAATATTCCTCATATAACAAATTTCAATAAAATTTACTCTAGCCAGGTCATCAATGAAAGATTGCTCATCAAAGTGTGAGAAATCTCTGAAGGTGATCATTTTTTATTCATGTTTCACACGGGATATGTTTAAGATACAGCAAACAATTTTATGATCGGACAACAAATTAGCATCTAAAGTAAACCAGTTAGTGACAGTAATTGGGGTATTAATAAAAATAGGGTCCAGAAGAGTTGCTGTACTATTAGTTACTCTAGTGGGAGCATCAATAATTTGGTTGAAACCATACATATCCAAGCATTGTTATAAGGTATTATCGGCAAATAAATTTACATTTAAATCACCAAGGATAATAATATTTTTAAAATTACTCAGTACATTAGGCATTATATTGTCTAAGGCATTTGTACAATCAACTAGCCTTTGTGAAGGGGGACGATACAATATACCTACATGTTTCACACCATGTTTCCGTTAGAGCAAGAATGTCAAAATTATCCTCATTCATCATGTCCGTAAATGCGTCAAAGCTTGACATCAGAGATCTTATATTTAGGTGTCCTATTTTGCACTTCTTCGTAATACTAACAGGTTCCATATGGATTCAGGAGTATTAACAAAAAAATGAAAAGTTAAAAATTAAGGAAATATATGTATAAAAGCAGAGTCGTTCAACTAGAGTTGCTAATCAGAGTTAATTATATTTTTCAAATTGCGCACATAATTTATATAAGCCGGACAATGAGAATCATTTGCAGCATGATTAACTTGGACGTGTGACTTAGACTTAGAACCATAACTTACACAATTTATACATTTCACCTGGTCACTTGCGATCTCGCACTGATTTGCCATATGATCTCTTGAGCATTTGATGCATGCAGAGGTAGACGATTTGCATTGCTTAGCAATATGTCCGAACTTACAGCATCTGAGTTCTTTCAATTTTGGTGATAACTTTTAAATCCGCATGATCATCCAATCCCACGATGTTCTCAATTAACATCTTGTCATCCTTGATATCATCAGAGAAATTCACATTTTTTACTAGCAGACGGGGGTTGTATTTTTTCAACTCGTTGGCAGTCAAACGGCCATTTAGTTGACCATTGACAGCATTTTTTAGTTTTGCCACATCGTCATCTCCCTTGCAGTACACAGCAACCCCTTCTTTAATTTTCTTCGTGCCGCTAATGCATATATTTAAACGAGAAGGAATAATCGTTTTTGACAAGACTTGTAGCACATCATCTCTATTATTCCTATCAGCTGATTTCACTAGTAAAACAGACGATTCTACATTTTTATCATTCTTTACATTTTTCTGTAATACCTGACTATGCGTGTTCGTGCTAGCAATATTTTTTACTGGAGCAATAGCACTTTTTGCCTCACTGAGCTCTTTTTGTAACGTATCGGATTTGAATTATGTAACTCCAAGGAAGACTGGGGTTCGCTAATTAATTTAGCCTGGATATCTTTCTCTCTATTAAGACATTCGATTTCTTTTTGCAGTATCAACATATGCGATTTAGTGACGCTAGAGTTTCCTACTTGTTTGCAGTTATCACAAAACGAGATCAGATTATCAAACTCACACAGATACTTGCAGTTTAGATCCTTCAACCCAACACACACAGGATGGAATGATTTCACACACAGCTTGCACTTTATTACTTTGCTGTTAACAATGCAATTATCAGCACATATCGCACATACGTCCACATCGTCTGCCATCTCGACGCGGAATAAACATATTTAAATATTCGCTAATCAAGCATTAGACAGTAACTGCTATCCCAACTAACCTAGCTGCAAATAATCCCAACCTCGTTGCATCTTTCCTCCTCATTTTCGTGCACACAAAAGAAAAGCTGTGGGTTTTTCATGTGGCCGCTGCCCATCGAATGACGGGTCGCGTTGATCAAATTAAAACTTTTCCAGAGTGCTCTCGAAATTGGATTTCACGGTAAACATATTAATAACTAACTCTTTTAACGAGCTTCCGCAAAAGTTATTTGCCAACTCCGTTATACGCTATGTATGGGGTACAAAGGAGACAACTGCGGAATGCTAATAATAACGTTTTAATTAGGCGGTTGAGTTGGGTATGCACAGTGGGGTCTTCATTACGTAGTATGTTAAGGAGCATCTGGTACTACTTACCACACGTAGTGTAGTCGTTTTGTAATTCGAGGGAAATTTTAATGATAAACTCATCCAGTGATATGGTGATGCTCATGTCGCGTTTTATCAGGTGTGACACATTAGCATCTTATGCAAACTTGGGTTAGTGATGGGTTCTCCTCTTCATCCCACAATGTCAGCGCGGGTGTTCGCCAGGGATCGATCTTGACTCCGACATAATTCCTCTTACATATCCTCCTTGCCTGTATGACCAATCCGATTCACAACTTCGCCTATGGCAGCACTGTCAGTGAGCTGTAAAAAGAAAACTAGCACGGACTTCCTATCTGACGAGAGACCTAGAGGTTATCATTCAACAAGGCCAAGGCCAGCTATAGCTACCAACTCGTAAAAACGAGGTCTTCTAAATGAAGCCACAAATGTGCCTGCTGGCTGTTGTTTGTTGTTGGTAGCTTCTAGATGTATTTTCCTATCCATCCTAGTTTTCCTTCAGGTTAGTATGTTCGAGTCCCCCATTTCTTTTTCGTTTTCTAATAGTTTTTTTCCACTCATTGGGGATACTTTTTATTTATTTTTTTTCGTTTTTCACAATAGCTTCTTCTTCTCCTGCTGCTGCATTGCTATCACTTCTATTGTTTGAATCTTCGACAAACGTGGGGTCTTGTACATCGTCATCGCAATCCTCAAACTCGGAATTAATAATATCCTCATCCAACATAGAGTTATCTACAAGCTGCTTTCCAGGAGTCTGTAATGTAGTATGTTTACTGCTTTCTGCCATAACATGGTCAAATATTTCTTTAGATTTGCCAAAACCTGTAGATAAAATTGTTTGAAATGGGTTTTTGGAAAGTGACATCCTCGTCAATATTTTTTTTTGTTTCTGGCGACGTTAAAATTTTTCGAACTACAGATGGAGGAAAGTGTTTTGTTGGTCGTGGAAACACGGAATTAGGCCTGATATTCTGACGGTCAAAATCATGCTCCAAATTGTCTTGAGTTCTTTCACCTAAAAGACGTAAACTGTTGAAAATTATAATCCCATACGTTGAAAATTTAACATAAGCCTATAACTATTATAATGCCGAAATTACCTGTTCGCTTATAAGTCTGGTTAGTATCTGCCTCTTTTTCATATCTGCAACTTTGTTGTCAGAACTAATTTAATAAGACATAAAAATAGATTTTACTATATATCTATAGAGCATGGTAATATTCTTACGTACACTCCTTTTGTTGAATCGATCATGAAGGTTTTTTTCTATCATCTTGATTGCAACAATTACCGCCACTATCTCTGGACGAAAGTTTTGCCAGAAGAACAATCATTTGGCTTCTCCGATACATTATACTACACGGTTTAACTTTTAATCTTAAACAACAACTAATGCACATAAACCTACCAAGTATAATTACTTCAGTGACTGGATCGTATCTGAACGATCACGGTTCAGTCTGGGACTTGACATGCACGGCCCGCCGCGTCGTTGGAGACAAACTATGCTAAGTGGACTTGGACTATTTTGGGTCGGTGGTGGGATCGGACTTAGCTTATAGTTTCATAAGCTAACTTGAAAACTATAATAGCTAACAAAACACCTAAAATACCATCGTATTCTTCTTAAGCAATAATAATAATTAGCATAGTCTAGCTCTGGAGTACAGATATGTGATGAGCATAAGTTTCCATTTCGGTGCTTTCGATGCACATCCATTGGGATCCGATGGAGCCAATAAGCAGAAACGAACGTCGCTCGGATTACCATCCCCTCTACTTCGGCTCCCGTCCTTTATTGCGGACATGCCCACGATTGACCTTCGATTTTCATGTAAGTTTCCGCAAAATTACTTGTCTTAAAAATAGAGCTTCCAGATTTATTGTCATTTTAATCATTCAAGGCCCGTCATCCTGTTAACCTGACGTCCGGACATCCCGTCCGTCCATTATAAGACCTAAGGCCCTTATTTCTAATTTAATTGGAAAAGTTGTGACGATACATGAACCGAATTTATTTTTCTCATTTTTCAACCGGTGCGTTCCATCAGAAGCAGGTCGGTGAGACGGCGCGAAGCTAAAAGGTTGAAGCTGAGTTGTTACGCTTTTATTTATATAACAGGTGGTCCCTTGGAAGGGGAGAACTTGCTGAGGGAATGATGAGAATATTAAAAAAGTCACCTCTTTAGCAGCGCCGAGATTATTGCCCTTATTATAGGTATTTTGTGTGTTCCTTTTAATTTATGACTAGCGTATTCAACAGTCGTTCAGATAGAATAATTTGGAACAAAAGCACGCACATAAATAAACAGTCTGGAATATTTTTTAAAAACTATTTGGAAACTGTTTTACTTAAAAAATGTTCTGTTCACAATGTAGCGATTTTGTAGGACTGTATTCTAACAATCATGTCATGATCATTCTGTTCAAGTATCTTTAGTTAATTTTGGTACGTAAGTTAGTATACAGGGTATACGAAAAATATACGGAGATATTTTAGAGGGTGATCTATTGTTAAAAAGGTTTTTATAAAGATGTTTCTGGAAATGGATACAGGGTGATTGATTTAGATTTTTTTTGTACTAATGTCGTAAAAAATAGGCACTTGTAATTTTTTTATCCAAAATTAGAAAACCAATTTTGTCCACTGACATGCAATAAAACATTTTTTATTTTTAACGAATTGTGATACGAAAAAATACAAGAGGCAAAGAAGTTTAGAAGGTTAATCAAACAAAAAACGTTAAAGTCAGAAAAAAGGCAGTGGCGTTTTGCCAACAATAATCGTTAAGATGCCCCCGTGACCGCCACTGAATCTAATAATTTTGGCCTATTTAGGGCCAAAATAGCATCTTATCTTATATATCTGTTTCTCGAACGCCCTGTAGATTAGCACTAATTAATGCAATTTAATTCCATGTACTGATTGAGGTAGCATGATTGACATATGAGTACAGACTGCACACACGCACTTATAGAAATAGTATCTTTAACTGAAATAATTTGGAAAAGTTTTCAATATAAGATCTAGGCCAAATCGTTTCGTTTGATTTGTTTACAATTTGTTTTAATACTGATTTATTTCGATGTCAGCAATTCTACGATATACCATCGGCGTTAATGCCGAAGCCTATGTTCTCCTTTCCTGATTACGATTGCGACAGCAGCGCTTACAAAAGTTCACCCGATCGATACATAGATACATTTATTGTCTTGTAGATGATAAAATGACATATGACTCGTCCTAAGGGGGAGGTACATAGTACACGTAATTAAAAGTAAAAACAAAACAAACAAGTATTTACAAAGCACAAACAGGAACAACTTAAGGCGTACAGACATTCACATATAAATAAAGTTTTAAAAATATATCACAGAGCGAGGTACTCAGACAAAGAGTAGAAACATTTTTCAACTAATAATTTTCGTAGTTGACATTTAAAACTAGCAATACTACTGACATTCAGGAGGTTAGCTGAAAGTTTGTTATACATTCTGATGCAGGTTGATTCTCTCAGTTGGGCTGCCCGTATTGCCTTTAACTTTAAAGACTCCAAAGGAAATACATTACCCTATCTATAGTGCCTGGAATTTTGACACTTTTATGATACTTCCGATGCACTATTGGAAATTGTAGTTAGCCCAATGGGGCGGAATAATTTTCAACTTCCCTTGCCAATGCTTGCGATGGAGACGGCTTTGCTACCTAAAATGTTGGTCCATTATTTAGGTAGACTACAGGAAAAAAATATACATATAATTGTGACATGAGCTTGGAAGGGAGTGTTGAGAAATAATATATGCTCAGTGACATTAGAAATGTTACACCAGGAAAAATAACATCTTCAAATTAATTTTTTAGCAATGAGATAGTAAACATTAAGTGATAAGAAAAAAATTAATAATGTGTTGGGAGACCCCGCAGCTGAATACACTCCTGTATACGTCTAGGCATCGACAAAGTAAGATGATCGATGTCTGATTGCGGCACCTCATTCCAAGCAGCTCGAACTTCGTGGAAAGGCTGTGGCAGAGTGTGTGGCGGTGGTGCAAAGTGGATAGTCTCCTCCCCATAATATTACACACATGTTCGATGGGATTTAAATCCGGTAAACGGGGTGGAAACGGCAAAACATTAACACCTGCTTCTTGAAGAAAGTCCATAGTACGACGAGTAATATGGGGACGTGCACCGTCATGCTGAAAAAGGACGGCCCGCTAGATACAGCAGTAAAGTGGTTTGTAGGACATCAACATAATGTGCAGCAGTGAACGAACGATTAATCCAACAGTCCGCGATTCTGTCTACATAGACAAAATCGCGTTTCGTCGCTGAAAATGACATTATGCCATTCTGTCTCCCAGTGTTGCCGTTCTCTGCTCCAGTTCAAATGTTGACGACAGTGGAACGCAGTCAGACGAACCATGGACGGTATGAAAAAAGTCCAAAGGCTTGAATGCGGCGATAGAGTGTACGCATACTAACAGGTCTGCCTTCTTCTTTTCCAAACCATTTGGTCAGCGATCTGACACGCAGTAGCAAAACGGTCTCGTAGGGCTGGTTGCCTGAAGCGCCTATCTTCATATTCTGTGG